GAGTATACAAAGTGATACATTATTTATTATGTATATTCATGGTAGGCTGGCGCCATGAGTTGGGAGATCCAGCCATATAAGCCGGTAGCAAACAAAACAGAGGGAAAGAAGATGAACAATATAAAATTGTGTGGTAACTATGGGCAGACTGACTCACCCATAAGTTGGGTAGTTGGTCCTATGTCCTTGATAACACGAAAACAGAGAGATATATAAAGTCTGACTATTTTCCTTTTCTAAACATATATGACGTTTGGGTAGGGATCCTCATAAGTTGAGGTGACCTGGCCACTCGTCTGAAGACAAAATCTGATTGTGAAACTTATCTATTGGATGTAGTTGTGTTGCGGAGGCCGGGCGAACGCATAAGTTGCGGGTTGTTCGGTCATACGCGCTTGTTGTTGTTTGGGCGGGGCTAGACTACTCATAAGTTGGGTAGCCTAGTCTTATGCTATATGTCACTGTATGGGCTGGTTAGGCACAACATAAATTGTTGTGTCTGGTCATATGTTTTTCGTCGTTCGTTCAGGCAAAGGCTAGACTCCTCATAAGTTGAGGAGGTTCAGTTTTTTTGTATATGCCGAGAGTTAGGCTGATCAAGTCTCACCATAAGTTGGTGCGACCTGATTATATGCCTTATGTCATTTTGTTCAGACAAAGACTTATCACAACATAAGTTGTTGTGGTAAGTTTTATGCCTTATGTCTATAAGTTGAACATAGTTGTATTGCGAAGGCTGGGCGAACGCATAAGTTGCGGGTTGTTCAGTTCTTCGCGCATATGATTATGTCTAGGCTGGGCTGGACTACTCATAAGTTGGGTAGCCTGACTCTATGCCGTATGTAACCGTATGGGCTGGCCGAACACAACATAAGTTGTTGTGTTTGGTCATATGCCTTTTGTTGTTGTTTAGGTCAAGGACGACCCCTCATGAGTTAAGGAGGTTCAGTTCTATGTGTATGCCGGACGTTCAGGCTGACCAGCCTCACCATAAGTTGGTGCGGCCCGGTCATACACCTTATGTCGATCATTTTGCAGAAACTGGTCACATCATAAGTTGGTGTGGTTTGGTCTTAAGCGTACGTATATTTGTGTTACTAGGCTAGGGCACCATAAGTTGGTGTGGCCTAGTCATATAAACTGGCAGGTCAGTCACATCCATAAGTTGGGTTGGCTGACCCTATGTCCTATGTAAGGAAGGGTAAAAAGGTAATAATGAGGGTTTTTGAACAAACTATGTGACCTGGAAAAGAACCATGTGGGATTGTGAGAGATGTTTGCGCTTGCATGCTCGTGGGCTCTCACTTGGGGCATCTTTTGATAGAGTAGTTGCTGTAGATGCTTGCCGAGTGTTGGAGCCATAGGTAGGTAAGATGAATGATGAGAGGGAAGCCTGGGATGAGATAGGACTGACTTTGCTGGGGGTTGGGATCAGCGTTGGCTCATGGCCTCATTCAGAGGGCATGTAGACCAATGTTGGGACTAAGTTGTCAAGCAGGGATCAAGAGTTAGCCCCAAGTATAGTTTTGCTTTGCACTTTGACTTTCAACTTTGTATAAATCTTGGCAGCCTACTTTCCCCACGGGAAGCGCTGCCGAAATTTCTGCAAAACTGAAAAGAGTTAGTCATATTCAGGTTCCTAGAAATTTTGAAAAGGCACCTGTCCTACGGGAAGCGCTGCCGAAATTTTGAGAAATTTGGAGAGTTAGAATATTTTCAGTTAGACCAATCTTAGCAACTCAACCCTGAGTAGGGGAGGTGTTACTGAACCTCTCAGAAGTTGAGTAGGAGCTTAGTAGAGAAGTTAGGATGTGACTTAGGAGGATTACTTCCTACTTAGGCTAAACGTTGTAGTGGAATCTCTTTGACCTGTGCTGTGGTGCAGGCCGTGTGTATTAATTGAAGGTCTGACTTGGTCAGCCTAACTATTCTTCTGTTATCGCTGATAACAGGTCGGTTGCCGATTCGTCGGTATACGACTCAACCTTTCATCCTTTTCTGCTTCTCAACCTAAGGCATTGGCCATGGCTGATTCTTTGTTTTGTTGGGTTTTCACCCAGATTCTTTATAAATGGCCATTTCTTAAAGGCTGAGTATCTTTGTTGTGGAATGGTGGGGAAAAGGTTGGGCTTGTGTACAAGGCAGGATGTGAGCTGCAGAAGGCTGAAAAGTTGACCCCTTTAGTGTATGTGTTGTTGTTTGATCCTTGTGTGTGGTCACAGGTATGTGTGGAGCATGTTAATCAAGTATGATGTTTTGGTTGTTTTGAGTTTAGGCCGGCATGCCACGTAGCTATTGTGAGAGTGTACTATCACATAACTCTTTGCTTGACTAAGGATATTTCCCCTTATTTATATATTGTGGTTGGACTCTCGCTCGCACAGCCCTCACTTGGTTGTATGACCGCATGCCTATCTTTTCTGTATCTTTGTCTAACTTCAGTTTATGGAACGATAAAAGTTCCGGGGGGAAGGACTAGCGTGTCGCTGGTGATGCGCCAGACAACTCACCACCGCTCCAAATTCCTTCCTGCCCTAGGGGCCGTCTTGCTCTGCACCCCTTGGGACACCTTAGGGTGCAGAAGACGGAAAGACCCTCAGGCCGGGTTTGCGCCCGCTAGAGGATTACCTCCCCCTAGCGCGCGTTTCAGCCAACTCCTGAGCGTCGGAAATAACCCTATGGCTCAGAATAGACCACTTGGGTATGGACACCACGTAATGCGCCGTTATCGCAGATACTCGCGTAGAGCTGCATGGTGAGTTGGTATGTGTGGGTACTGCATCCGCACGATTTTATCTTAAGTCCTTGCGGGCAGCACTCGCCGATCCTCGTACCAAAAGTTATGGGTCAGGCGGCGAGACCAAGAGCGCGCTACGGTCAATAGACTCGGGTTTGTGGTAACGCGAAGCGACACATGGGCGAAGGACCAGTCCCAGTCGACCTATGGGAGCCCGTGTACGGGCCTCACTACCCCGGACATTGGATAGCCTACGGGAAGGACTTTGGGCCTCCTCCGCGCGCGCGTCGTTTGGGCCTACCTACCCCTTCCATTTTAGGAGGCCACTAGACCAGTGCGAGTTGGAGTAGGTTTCTCTTTTGAACTTTCATGGTTGGACGTTGTAGTCCGTGGTAGCCGTCAAAGTCAAACCCCTTGATTTCGGCTACCACGACAACCCTAAAAGTTGTTTACTCAACCCCTCTGCACAGGGTGCAGAAGAGAGTGTGGTCTTCAACCGCACATGGCGGTTGTCTGGCGTCAAGAGATTACCCCTCAAAGCGGCTGTCAGCCGACACTTGAGTGTCGAACGTGACCCTCGAGAATACCAAGGGCCGCGAGGCCACGAGTTCCACATAGTACCCCATCAGCGCGAATACTTGCATGTGCCCGCATGATCGATATGAGGGGGTCATGCACTCGCGCGCCTCTTATACGGAAGTTCAGCGCGCGGTACCTATCTGAGTCTTGCCGTATACAGTTATGAGTCAAATACTGAAGTGACTAGGAGTTGTTGTGTTGTGGCGTTGTTTGTGGTGTTTGTTTCGCGTGGGGCTCCAGGTGCTATGGGTGAGTAAGTGCGAGTGTTGTGGTGTAACGCGTGGGTGTGTAGTGCGTCCTAGTCGACCGACGTCGAGTGGCGTTTGGGACTTCATACCCCAATACGGCGATTCCCGTACGGGTTCAATTTTCGGGCGTTTGGCCACGCATACCCCCTATGCTACAGCGAGCGAGAAACGCCCTCGGCTGGGCCACCTCTGCAATTGCATACGAAAAACTTATGCATGTGGTTCAGTAGCTCGGCAGGGATACACCCACCTAAGGGATGGCGACAGCTCCCGCAGGTGGAGGTAGTGGTGCCTCGCGAGACTCTGTCTTGTCGTAGGGACTCGCGAGAGGTACGGCTCGCGCACTCGGCCGGAGCGGCAAACGCTCTCCGCAATAACTACTGCATAATCCTGCGTGACGCGGTCGGGAGGGTTCCCGTGCGGGACCGATGCGCTTGACAACGCTTGGTCGACTGTCGCACGGCAGACAACAGTGTAGCTGTCGTGTCGAACACGACGGTCGGACATCCCGCGCAGTGCCGAACTCGATGTCATGTGACGTTGCTATCCCAGGCGGGGTTTTTCGATTCATTGAAGCCCGGGAATGATGACACGTGTTTTTGGTTTGGCTTTGGACACCGACACATCGCTGCCAGCCCGAGTGTTTGATTGTTGTTTTCATGTTGTGTTTCCTTGCGGAAAAAAAAAACTCGTTGTTCGAATGTTTTGCGTATAGAAGCACTCAGCAGTCATTGTATCTCCGTATTAATCAGTGCTTGTGATCTGTTGTCTTCTGTTCTCGTGATCAAGTGCCCCTTCAGGCACCGTCCGCCGACCATTGTGTCGAACACGACAAATGTCGCACGACAGACCACAGTGTCGCTGTCGTGTTCGACACGATGGTCGCCAGACGGTGCCTGAAGGGGCACTTGGTCGACTGTCGCACGGCAGACGACAGTGTCGCTGTCGTGTCGAACACGACGGTCAGCTCCCCTTCAGGCACCGTTTGGCGACCATCGTGTCGAACACGAAATGGACACTGTGATCTAGCGACCAGACGGTGCCTGAAGGGGCGCTTGGTCGACTGTCGCACGACAGACAACAGTGTAGCTGTCGTGTGGAACACGACGGCCGGACAGCCCGCGCAGTGCCGAACTCGACGTCGAGCAGGACGACGAGTTGGTCGGCCGTCGGGTTCGACACGACTGTGACACGACGACACCGCAATATCGTTGTCGTGTCGAATTCGACGGTACTAGAGGACGTCGTGGCACGGCCGTCGAGTTCGACACGATAGTGAAATGACGACGAACTGGCGGTCTGCGGCCCGCTTCCGTTGCTCTGTGTTCCTGTCTATTCTAGTTCTCGAATGCTGTGGTGTTTGCACGTCGGCAAAGCAATGACTGCTTTCTCGCTTGTGCGTTTTCTTCAGTTGCGACTAGCTGCTCGACATGGATCGCGAGGGGAAGCCAAGCAAACGACGTACTCGTACTGGTTCGGGGAGCATGGAGCAATCTCCGAAAAAAAACGAAGGGGACATCGACGCCTGGCGTGGGGGCAGGCGACACACCGGGGTCTAAGGACCACCGAACCCCGATGCTGCAGGGTGCACCTTCTACGGGCACTCCTTCCGCCCATGTTCGAGGGTTCGGGACCGGATTCGGCTGTGTTGATGAGTGGTGGGGCTGCGGGTCAAGAAGAGGAGGCTACTGGTCGGCAGGGAAAATCTACGATGGACGTTGTGCCCAGGCGTAGAAGGTCTGGTGACACGTCCATTGCAGGTGTGGGAGACGAGGTGCCTGTCGTCGACCACAAAGACAAGTGCTGGATGTTGGACTGGGTGGGTGGAATCGGGGAACCCTCGGGTGGGCTGGTTTTGTACGTGGTGATCAAAGGTAACATTGTTCCGATTGGCGGTGTGGTGAAGTGGAGTGGAGGAAATTCACCGTTTGCCATGTTGGAATTTACGATGGTCCTTAACGCTAAAGGTGAGCGGATGGCGAATGTCAAACGCGTTGCTCTTCGTTAGGCCAAACACACTGGGTTCGGCAAGAAGCTTTTTGATATTTTCAATCCGTCCGGGACTAGGGAATTGACGTTGCCGGACCTTCGAGCGGTTTTCACATTCTTCGACAGACATGTGGTCGCAGGGCATGAGCCGGTGGTGCATGCTTCCGACCGCATATCTGAACCGAAAAGCGTGCTTTCGTCGTCTTTGGAGGCGGCTCCATCGTCGAAACCAATCATTATAAGTGTCCGCCCTCCGTCATCACTTTGGACTACGGTTGCTGCAACACGAGTTCCGAAATCTGAGCAGATCGGGGAGAAAGGTCCGTGTCGTGGCCAAATCGTGCCGTCAGCCCCTATGAAGCGTAGACCAACATCAACCAAGGAACCAGTTTCCTTGGTCCGCCCGCCACGCTATGAGTTGGCCATTCCTGCTGGGCCGCATGATTTTGGAGATGACGACGAGGAGAACAACGAGGAAGATTGGGAGCGCGATGAAGAACGCGAAGAATATGAGGAGGGTGACGAAGAAGAGGAAGTAGAGAGTGAGCACACAATCAGCGAGAGGGGTGGGCCGGGCGAATTGGAGGGTCGTCTAGGGGTTGAGTATGAGGACGAAGGGCAAGAAGAGGAAACGACCGGCGAGGGAGGGTATCCAGATGTGCATCAGGGTTCCAAACGAACGCAGCTGCTCGCGCCGGGTCATGGGCATTGGGAAGCGGATCTAGGGCGCGGGGAAATGCACCGCGACGTTGGGGTCGAGCCGGCGCATGCCGATGCAGTCCGACTAGCTGAGAAGAAAAGGAAGATCAGGCAAGAGAGGAGAAGTGCTTTGGACAGTAAGAAAACCAAGCAGGAGGGGAGAGCCAAGCAAGAGGAGGGCAAACGCAAGTTAAGAATGCTGCCGATTGAGGAGGCCGTCCAACTTACGCGGGGGGCTGAGGAGGCCATGAAGAAAAAATGGCAGCCAAGGAAAAAAGCAGTGAAGGGAGGTGTGATGGAAAAAACTTCCGTTTTTCCACCGGACCAGCCACAGTCGGATGAAGACGCTGTGGGCAAGACAGTCACCAGACCGCCCGGTTTGCAGATTCTGCCGCCTGGGAATTCTTCTGGTCATCCGAGCAAAGGCTTCTTCCTTGAGTTCGACGAGAATGGTAACCAGAGGCCGGAAATGCAGTTCATTTATGTCAAGTTGGACAGGATTCTGGATATCCCTGACGAGGAATTCAGATATAATCAACGGTTCCTCGGTCAGGAGCTTATTGATGACCTTTACAAAACAATGGTTGAATTGGGTGAGGCATCTATCAGAGAGAGAACGACCGGGGCAACCATGGTGAATGTATGTGCATTGTACGAGAAGCCTGTCCTTTTGTTGATTGGGCTACATGATACAATGCATACTGACGCTTCCGGCACAAATGTGAGGGCGAGAAGAGTGACGCCCGACGAATTCGATCTCCAATCCGTGCGCAAGTACTACTGGTACTCTCTACGTGGTCAACACAATGTTGTGGCGGCGAGGAAATGTTCTCAAGAACACCCTGACATCGCTCGTGAGCTCCGTTTGGATTAATGGACTGCAAGACATGTTTACTATCCGGATAGGAGCATGGATAATTAAGCACCTTGAGCACTTTCCAAAATGCGAAGGACAAATGGAATACTCCTCCGCACCAGATTTGCTATCATTAACAACATACGAAAGTTGTGGCAAGCAGTCGGTCATCCAGAAGCTATAGGCGGATCTGCTGCAGACGTTAAAAATAAGGATTACAGAGAGTTTGCGGCGATGGCTCTGCGCGCGACCGGGAGTGATCATTTGGTTACTCTGTCACTTCAGACTTGGACCAAGGAGTGGTCTGACTTCCTCGGGCCTTACATGGTATTGGCACGAGCGACGGACGATGTGTTCGACAAGGTGCAACAAGTGTATTCTGCTTGGGAGAGTGGACAGTTGTCGGGGAGAGATAGTGTGAAGCCTGCCACCAAACAAGGTGAATCGGGGAAAGCGCCGAGACCTGGCCCCGGATTCAAGTTGGAAAAAGGAGTCAGGGTTCCAGTGCACTGGATTCAGGGTACTCGAGGCCCTGGTTACCTTGTAATTATGCGCGATCCGGATGTCAGATCATGAAAGGCCATGTCTACGTTGAGGAGGCGTGAGAGGCTTCAACTGTTGCGAGACATTATCGCGGGAAGTGTCATATTGGCTCCAAGGCTAAGTAAAGTTGCTCACACTGTCGGGAAACATTCGATGGAAACATACGTGGAAATGGTGAAGCAGGAAAGAGCAATGTTGAGAATGTTTCACCACTTCGTCTTCATTTCTAACCCTCACAAGAAGTCGTTAGAGTGGAAGGAACCATTCTTCGACAACCTTTTTGATGTGTTCGCTAAGTATTGTAATCAAGAATTGGCATCGGAGAGGTGGATCGACCAGCGACGACATTTCAAATTTCAAAGAAATGAGTTCGGTGCGGTCATTTCCGGCTACACTTGGAGGCGAGGATGAGAAAGGAGGGAGGGCTTCAAGAAAACAAAATTGCTTGCAAACAAATGCCTCGAAGAGTTCATTCAATTTGTCAACAAGTTGTTGCGTAGATCCGAAACTGGGGGTTCACATAACATTCGTATGTCGGGACAAGCGAGATATATATATTTCCACAAATAGGACGTGACATCTGTATTCGTGTCGTTCCAGTGGGAACCGAGCGATGTTTCAGACGAGATGGATTGCAAGGAGATGTATAGAGCCGTCAGACACCTGACGTACCACACAGCCGTCCTGGATTTGTGCCGCCCGACCCAGATGGGTGCGTGGACTGAACAAGTGTTTGATGGACTATGGAAGTTCATGGAAAAACTTGGTGGCGAGTATTGGATATTGTTGTGCTTCGTTCCATGCTCTTGCGAGTTCACATTCTTGAGGCGAGTTGCGATGTGGGACATTCACTTGGATCTTCTCAAATAGACTCGTCTACAACAAACAAAGGGGAAAGTGACATATAAGGTTGCAAACTTGCCTTTGGAGGACACAAACAGAATGATGGTCATCATGTACTCCAACGACGAGGATTTTCATCGCAACACTATTCCCTTGTTTGAAGATATTCAAGTTGCAGGTCCATCATCTGCCCAGAAGGTGGCTCACATATCGGCACTTGTGCGGAGAGAGAGAAAGCCGAAGATGTTGACTGATGTCGTGGAGAAGAACTTTCTACCATCAAAGTGAAAAATGGCAGGTATGGATCTACCGGAGAAAGTTGTCTATGATGGTATGGAAAGGGAGCCGAATGCAATGGTGGAGACATTGGAGCATTTTTGTCCTGAGGATGAGGCTGTCGTTTTCCTGGGGAAAGGTCATGCAGGATTGGTTTGGGAGCTGTTAAAGAGTCACCGTCATTGCATTGTGCTGGAAGGGGAGGATATGAAGTTCGAGTTCCTCACTCAGTTCATTGACAAGATGGTCAAAACTTGAGATTACTTCGCCAAATTTATTAAGCCGCCTCCTCGACATGATAAAGGGCGTGATCTCGTCTACAAGGTTGGCAAAAACATGGTCAATATTTGAGAGTTTCTCTTCGAAACAAAGTCGCAACACAGAGGGGAACGTACTTATGTCCTCAGAAGAAGAAAAGTGGAGACGCTTTTGAAGGGTTATCATAAAGCACCATCGGAGAGGGAGGTTTTATTTCTCGACCGCTTGGAGCCAATGTACTTCGACCAACAAATCGGGGCGTTTACAATCACAGGTTATGCGACTTGTTTTGTGGATGGTGAGGACTTTGATGCCGACGACTCAGAAGAAGAGAGTGTTGATGACACTTTGCAAGCGGTTTTGGCAGCTGAGAGGCAAAGAGTTTGTAGCCCGGCTTCGCAGAGAATGGGTGTTTCATGCACATCGTCCGGTTCTTGAGGAGTTTCGAGCATGGCGGTTTCAACGGATCAGTTAATGACTCGGCCGCCGACTTCTTCTATTGTTACACCGACTCAGATGGCGGGCAATACGATGACGGTGGCATCCGGAGGCATTCTGGATCCGACGCTTCAAGCAATGCTCTCCCCGGAGTTGTTGGCAACTCTGTTACCATTTGCACACCGCCCAAGTACTTTTATGGAATTGCTACGCTCTCGAACTCCACAACAACCTCCATCTGATGAGCCTTTGGAGTACGAGATTGGAGACGCAATTCCTGCAGACATTCGACTGCTTCCGGGGCCTATAGTGTGCCGAGACGATTATACGGTGACAGATGATGCCACATGGGGTCATCACATTATATGGCACCCCCAACACTTCCGAGTCCAACCTGCATTGGCGAGAGGGAGGTGGGTTAGGGCTATAAAAAAAAAGGGGAATGACAGTTTTGCCTCCACAGACGTATGTCAGGATCGAACTTTCTGAAACATGCCAAAAATCAGATCGCCAAGCGACTCCTGCGACTTAATCCGGAGGTTTTTCAATCAAGACTAGATGTAAGAACATAAGAAATTTTCCAAGAGTTTAAAACATCGCAGTGGCTTGAGTATCTGGAAGAGTTCTATGATAGACAAACCAGCCCGGCTTATGGATATTATTGGCATGCCAGAGAAGATTTTGGGGAGACGAAAAAATCAAGCGGCGGTGGTGAGCATGGCAAGGGATCCGGATCGAGCGGAGGTGTGCATGGCAAAGGATTGCGATAGGGGAGCGGTGCAAGTGACAAGGGTTCGGAACCAAGCGACGGTGCAAGAGGCAAGGACGCAAGTCATGGGGAACGACAAAAAACTAAAAAGTCTCAGGGGCGGCGTCAAGCAATAGAAGGCAAGGGATCAACACCAAGCGGCGCTGGGCATGACAAACCTACAAGACCAAGCGGCGGTGGTTCAACTGTCGAAGGGTTTCAGGGGCCTCAAGAAACAGAGAGCAAGGGATCAGGATCGAGCGGTGGTTCAACTATTGAAGGGTCCCACGGTCGAGTCGAACACGACAGTGGCCTCGCATTGGAGCGTTCCCAGCTTGACCAATCGAAGAAACTCACGGTTGAGTCGAACCCGACAGTGGGATCGGGAACGATCGCCTGTGCAAATGGCAAGGCTTCGAGACCAAGGGGGGGCAGTACAACTGTCGGCGGTGCTTCACCTGTCAAAGGGTCACAAGGTCGTGTCGAACACGACACTCGTCCAATATTTGAGTGCTCGCGGCTTGACCAAGCGAAGAAACTCACTGTCAAGTCGAACCAGACAGTGGAATCGGGATCAATCGTCGGTACAAGTGGCAAGGCTTCGGGACCAATCGACGTTGTTTCACCTGTCGAAGGGTCACACGATGGTCGAGTCGAACACGACAGGGGTCCACTATTGGAGCGCTACCAGCTTGACCAAGCGGAGAAACTCGTGGTTGAGTCCAATCCGACACAGCAATGGGGATCGATTGTCGGTGCGAGTGTCAAAACTTCGGGACGAAAAAGCGGTGTGAGTTGCGAGGGCGTGAGTACAGCTGACCAAGTTTGGGCGACTACGATACTAGTGGGCGACAATGTCGCTATGGAAGTGGATATTATTGGTACACTCACGGAATTACAGATGCCGTCGTCGACGATGCTAGCCGAAGTAAGCGGCATTTTCCAGGACACTTTTGAGGGCGTGAAGGAGGAAGAAACACTCCATGTACAGGGCATCGAAAAGGATGAAGGACATATAGTACTAAGTACAACGGAGCAAGGTGTACTTGTATAACCTCAACAAACGCTTGAACAACCTCAAACACCATAGTCTGCTAACCTCATGATAGCTATCGAGGAATCTCCTATTGCGCCATTGCATATGGAAGGTGTGACAGAAGGTCGTGTTGAAGAAAAACTGAAAGTTAGCCATCGAGGTGAACACTTTCTTATCTTAAGAGGAATATCTAATACTATATGCGGATTAGTGGGTACATCACATGCACTCATCTCCCATTGTGTCGATCCCTCAGATGTATTGTTTATTTACCTAGCCTTGGAACTGTGCGTTTTCTGAAGAGAAATACTGCAATTGTTTTGTATGAAGAGTTAGTGCAATTGCCATATATTTTGTATTGGTATTCATGAGTCAGTTTCAACAACGGAAAGTCGGACTTGTAACTCATTATTATGTTTTATCTTGTCAATCATGCAGGGCGACGAAAAGAACAGTGAAAAACGACACATGTACACTCGCAAAGGAAGAGAGAGAAAAATATCATTCGTCGTGGCTTGCAAACTTTGTCAACTTTGTCGTTCTTGCCAAAAAATGAGAGAAGAAGTCGTACACCCATGACATTTCCATCAGTGAAGCCCGCTGCCTTAAGGATGTTTAAATCCGTTGGAATAAGCCTCACAGAAGGGAAGAAATTACATCGCGTAGGTTGCAGTTTATTTGTTATGGATAGCAGCACTGATAACGAAACAGATAGACAACCAACAACATGAGCTCATATCTATGTAGTCTATCAATTGTTTTTGTGTGAAGTCTTAGTCGCTCTATTGTTGTTTATATGTGTGTTTGTATGCAGTGCATGACCCTTCATTCCAGATTCCTTTAGCAACAGTACGCCTTACTGTAGAAGAAAAGGAGTATCTTGAAATGATTACTGGCAGCACTGAAGAGAATGAAGAATACGGCATTGTCGATTA